CTCAATCGCTTAGGAGTCATTCTTGTCTACATCTGCTCCGGCGGTGAAACAATGGCGGACTGATGACAGCTCACTCAGGGCGGAGCTAAGGTAAGATGCCAGTCCAGTCTGTGCTGAAACGCTACTGTCAATCAAACTATCGTGGGAAGGGCCTGTCTGTGTGTTGTCACACAGACAGGCATCTGAGATCGACTCGATTTGAGAAAGGGGAAAACATTTAACCAGATTTTAAAAAAAAAAACACTGGGTGGATTTTTATCATTATAGGGTGGGGGTGGTTGTGTACACACACTGCCAACACACATTTCAGTTCAAACAACTTGTAAAAGTGCATGTAGCATCCTATGACCCCTTTAAGAAGAATTGATTGCATAATGCAGGGGTGTCAAATTCAGTTCTTGGAGGGCCACTGTCCTGCAGAGTTTAGTAAACACACCAGAACCAGCTAATCTTCAGATTTTCAGGATTACTAGAAACGTCCAGGCAGCTGTTTTGGAGCACTGCTGGACATTGGCCCTCCAGGACCAGAGTTTGACACATGCATCAGAAAAACCATCATGCCTGCTTGTTTTCTAGAACTAAGTGATTTATGAGGGTTTGGAGACAGGGGTGTTATGTTTAAACCATTAGAAATCTTCCTAACTGTATCTTTAATACCTTATAGTCAGCATGAACGGTTTAGTGACCACAGTACTCTCTTCTCAGCCGAACGCGGCTCGTATCTGATTGCACTCTGTCATGCTAGTAAGCAGCCTCCACCATGACACTCATCTCCTTACTGACAGACGTTCATGTTATTTCATCCTGTTTGTTAACGTGAGATGCTAAGCATGAAACTAGAGTGGAGAAATACACAAAGTATGGCTTACAGCTAATTATACAACACTGATCCCGTGATGATACCTATCTAGGTGGCTTCCATCTCTCTGTGTGTGGCATGCATTGCTTTAATAAATACGTGTTTGCCAAACAAATACCTTGACTCGTGTCATCAGAATGTGCCCCGTCCAGCGGTAAACCCAATCTCAGCGATGTGGTGCTTGTTAACTTGGCCTACGTGTCTGAGGTGGATGTCATCAGTGACCGTGCTGAAACTCCTCCCCCTTTAGCATCTCTCAATTTTAACAAGGTATGTCCAAATGATGACCTATTCCATTTGCATGTCTAGTAATCTGAGATTAAGAACGGTGTTTATTTGTAATATTTTTATGTTGCTTCATCTCTGTGCAGCTTGTGAATAGAGCATGGGCGGAAAAGGAAGAGAAGTTGTTGCAAGCTTATGCAGTTAGTGCTGGTGTATCTGTAGAGGGCCAACAGCTCTTCCAGACCATTCATAAAACGTGAGTGATGGGAATATTGAAATGCTCACTTCCAATTGGCTTATCTTCGGGCTTTTGCTCTATCACGACCGATACTAATTGAAACTGATAGCTGAATCTATATGTAGTATTATTATTACTAACAATCATCTGTACTGTGGATGAATTGTTTAACAAATGTGATTATATAAAACAACTGTGGCTTCCTCCTCATCTTCACCACAGCATCAAAGACTGCAAATGGCAGGAGAAAAACATCATTGTGATGGATGATGTGGTCATCAGTCCGCCATACCTAGTGGACAACTGTAAAGGCAAAGATGGCAGCGCTTTAAGCCACGTGCGGAAAATAGTAAGTCGTCTCAACTCTGCAATCTGTTCTACACACTTGTGGGGTCTGTAAGATTTTTATTTAATTTTTTTTAAAGAAATTAATACTTTTATTCAGCAAGGGTGCATGAAACTGATTCTATTCCATCAAAGAATCCTGGGGGGGGGGTTGTATCACGGTATCCACAGAAATATTAAGCAGCTGTTTCATCCGTTTTAAATTGTGATAAAAATAAGAAATGTTACTTCAGCACCAAATCAGCGTATTAGAATGATTTTTGCCAGTACTGGAATAAATTAAATTATTAGGGCTGGGCAAGTTAATGCGTTATCGCATTAACGCAGTTTTTATTATTATTATTATTATTATTTTGAAAGTCCGTTGCTCGTTTTGAACAGTAGTGTACAAAAAATGAAACTAAAAAAATGCTTTTTAAAAATTGTCTTTAGTGAGCTTTAGTCCATGTAAATTAGATTAAAATCTTTCTAGATATTCTAGATAGATAAGTTAAATTTAACACTGCTATCTTTTAACAGATGTTTGCATTTAAAATGTATTTTTCTCTAAAATATCATTTCAAAAATATTTATTCATCTGCACAAAAATATTCTTTTTGCCAATAGGTAACTAATTTGCCTCGTCTATTTGTAACATAGACACACAAGGTTTAAGCTTTAATTGCAATTACATGAAAATGGCAGATGGCTGAAACATTTACTATTAACCCTAAAACAGGAAAGAGTGGAAAATGATCAGCAAAATATCATTTCATGTCACTTTTTATATCATCTGGACTTAAGTAAAACATACTCAAAGGAATTTTTGTAATATTTGATATATATTGGATTTTATGAGTTGTATCTCCCAATATATGTTGCCCTACCCTAAGTCATCAATAATTCTATCATTTATTTGATGCAAGCAAATATGTAATATTCAAAATATGCTGCATTTATGACATGTCTAAGTTTCCTAAAATTGAGGCACAGACATTTTCTTGTTTTTCTCATCTTCATTCTCAGGGGTGGGCAGTTCCACCCCTTGAGGTCCACTGTCCTGCACGGTTTAGCTCCATCCCTGAACAGAAACACATAAAACATCCCTAAAGATTAATCTTTAATGAGCCGAAAAGAACGCATGTCACACCTCTGTTCATCAATTTGCACTGGCTACCAATAGCTGCTCGCATTAAATTCAAGGCATTAATGTTTGCCTACAAAACCACCACTGGCTCTGCACCCATTTACCTAAATTCATTACTTCAGAGTTATGTGCCCTCTAGAAGCTTGCATTCTGCAAGTGAACGGCATATTATTGTGCCATCTCAAAGAGGCACAAAATCACTTTCACAGACTTTTACCTTAACTGTTCCCTGCTGGTGGAATGACCTGCCCAAATCAATCCGAGCAGCTGAGTCCTTAACCATCTTCAAGATATTATTATTATTATTTTGAAAGTCCGTTGCTCACAGGCTCTGAATACACACAGACAAACCATGAGTCAGAGGATGGGTGAGATGTTGATCAGTACTGGCTTGGGATGGGTGTCATCACGCATCTCAACCAATGAGAGCATTTGGGGTGGGCCTAAGACTGCAGCAGCTCAAAGGAATTTTTGTAATATTTGATATATATTGGATTTTATGAGTTGTATCTCCCAATATATGTTGCCCTACCCTAAGTCATCAATAATTCTATCATTTATTTGATGCAAGCAAATATGTAATATTCAAAATATGCTGCATTTATGACATGTCTAAGTTTCCTAAAATTGAGGCACAGACATTTTCTTGTTTTTCTCATCTTCATTCTCAGGGGTGGGCAGTTCCACCCCTTGAGGTCCACTGTCCTGCACGGTTTAGCTCCATCCCTGAACAGAAACACATAAAACATCCCTAAAGATTAATCTTTAATGAGCCGAAAAGAACGCATGTCACACCTCTGTTCATCAATTTGCACTGGCTAC